TAAGTGTATGAAACGAAATTTCCATTCACGAATCATTTCGAATGAAATGCTTGACATAAAATTTATAGTATGTTTAAATTCTAAATCGAATTAATATTCCATAGTATAAGTGTTTAGCTGAAGAAAAATATTTGCCAGATGTGTATGAACTGTTTTCAATTGAAGATTTTGCTTATAGGTGCAGAAAGATCAACCCAGTTCAAACAGCAACAAAGGTCTGCGTGCCTATTATAAACATTCCAAATTGATTGTTTACGAAGGGGATATAACCAGAGAAGCGGTGGATGCGATCGTAATGCCAATAACCAGGCAGCGTTATGAGAATATTAAGGATAGTATGCCAGTTAGTTTTGGAGATGTTGTCGTCAGGCTTGAAGATGACCTGCCTTGTAAGATGGTTTTGTACGTAATTGGCTTTCAGAAAGACGAACTGCAAGAACAACAAAGTCAAAGTTATGTTTCGTTGCCGTTGATGCGCAAAATAATTTTCAACAGTTTAGTATTAGCAACCAAACACAATGCCAAAATAATCTCCATGTCAGCTACAGGTCTTCAGTTAAATGAGGAGTGTGCTGAAACTACCTTCGATATTGTTGAAGAGTTTCTGGAAGGGTCAAATAAATCAGTACAGGAGATTCGCTTCATCAACGGAGATAAGCAAACTTTGTTATTTTCGAATGAATTGTCGAGACGATACCAAGCCTTTTAAATGCGCATATCGGACCTTTTGCATGAACAAGATAATCAACTCTCTAATACAACGGATTCAGGCAATTTGGATACAAGGCATACGGAAAGCAAAGTCAAATAGGGGACTTAACATGTGGTTTGAACAGATTTAACATTTAGCTTCAGCTTGATTTAATATTAGTGTTCATTGATGATTATGACGTAGAATGCTTTGTACCTTTTGATATTTTGAATGTAACCCAATGATCGAATAAAACCAGTGGTGTAGAACTAATATGATAACAAGGGAGGGTGCAACCACTAGATCAATGGGTGCAACACGATAAACATGGAAGTTCCAGTATTTATTTATCAGTGTTTTTCGAAGAAAGGACTTAATTAACTTACAATAAAATATTCCAATATACCGAAGCTATTTAATGTTGGCGCCACATTCATGACCTAATAGTATAATCATAGTAATCAAATGCAGATTACTAACATCATTACCGCATCATTTTAACCCTACAGTTGCAAAGAATCTTCCAGATTATGAATATGCAATCTGCAAGGGGAGGGGGCTCACCCCCTCCAAACCCTGAATAAAACGATCAGTATAATGTGACTTATCATGTAATTCAATGATAATTCAATCACACTTTAGAATGTATTATTAAATAGATTGCGAAAATCTCTGTGGCGTCGACCGTGGTTTTAGTTCCTGGCAAAACAAGATAGAAAGTGGAAACACGTGTAAAAAGTTGGCCACATATTGCACAAAAGATGAAACACAACAGCGCCAATTTAAGAAAAGAAACTGCAGAACTTTGTTTTTAATATCTTACGTGTATTATAGCGTATGTGTAAAATATATAAATAACCTAGATATTGTCTAGCTGAATAGTTATCTACAATACTATTTACAAATATTACAATAAACCTTATTATACATTTAATAATATAACATTAATAATAAATAAATTCCAATAAATACAATATTCAATTTCTACCTAGTACCCAACTTCCATTTCATTTTAGTTTACATGAGCCTTGAAAAATACGCACAGCTTACGAAAGTCTTGGCGATAGATTTCTAAACACGACATTCAATACATGATCAGACCAGTCAGAGAATTTAATTTTTTCTTTTATTTCAAGAAAAGATCTTGGGCCAAGTTTTTCGGAAATTTGACAAATGATTTCCTTATTTGATGCATATTTTCCGAGAACAACCTCAAATTTCGTATTGCATTTAACAATTTGTCGATCTAACTGGTCTTACCATATTAATATGGAAAGCGCCTGACGCTTTGAAGTTTCAATTACTATTATCGCCAAGCACTCACGGTTGTACTTTTAGCATAATGGTTAAAAATTCATATAGTGTTCCTAAGTTTAGTTTACAATTGTACTTTAATGATAGAAAAGTAGCAAAAATGCGGGGACTATTTTTCGGTTTTTAAGGCAGGGTAATTTATAAAATTTTAAAATGAAATGCAAAATGGCGGACTTGCTAAGGATCGATACGTTTCAGACGCAAAGAAGGATCCGTCTTGAGTAACTTTTGTTCTTTCTGCAAGTGAGAAAATCATTTTGTACTTCAGATTCTGGACATTGTGGGGTATTAACTGAGTTGGAACATTCTATATTTTAGAGTGAATGTTTGATTTGTAGTTTGCGCTTAGGATAAGTTAAATTACTTTTTTTTAAAGTTTATCCGATGGGTTGGCTGAGGGTAAGGCAGTCAACTGTAAAAGGACTGGAACGATAACTTGGCCGCCATCTTGGAAGCCAAATTGGAAAATGGAGTGGAAAAGACGCCGCGTAAAAGACATCTGTTTTCGAGCACTAAATAGCTGTATTTCAACAAGGAAAAAAGCTAAAACGTTCAACAATACTTGAAATTTAATACAAAAAACAAATTTCTGGAACGTAGAGCAGTTTTAAAGTTATTTTCTTAGGAGTCAAAGTGCGAAGTTTTTTTCGGCACGTTCAAACTTGTGTAATATTTTGAATGGGAAACTGTTACCCAGGAAGTTTTTGCTGTTAGTAGATGCATGTAAATACTTAGAACTATCCATAATTCATAAAACCAGGTTTGAATCTTTAAAATTGAAGCCTTTTGATAAGGAGTACTTTTTCTTGCTAATTTTCGCTCAAAAACAAACCTTTGACTGAATTTCCCGCTCCTCGAACCTCTCCCTAGTCCTTTTAAAAGTCAATTTACCCCGCGCGGCTCCCACGCATTAGGTTAGGGTTCATATTTCAAGAATTTATATAGGCCTTTGGCAATGTTTGTATGCCTTTGGCAAAAGAATGCATGCCTTTGGCAAAAGAATGTATGCCTTTGGCAAAAGAATGTATGCCTTTGATAAAAGAATGTATGCCTTTGGCAAAAGAATGTATGCCTTTGGCAAAAGAATGTATGCCTTTGGCAAAAGAATGTTTGTCTTTGGCAAAAGAATGTATGTCTTTGGCAAAAGAATGTATGCCTTTGGCAAAAGAATGTATGCCTTTGGCAAAAGAATGTATGCCTTTGGCAAAAGAATGTATGCCTTTGGCAAAAGAATGTATGCCTTTGGCAAAAGAATGTATGCCTTCGGCAAAAGAATGTATGCCTTTGGCAAAAGAATGTATGACTTTGGCAAAAGAATGTATGCCTTTGGCAAAAGAATGTATGCGTTTGGCAAAAGAATGTATGCGTTTGGCAAAAGAATGTATGCTTTTAGAAAAAGAATGTATGCCTTTGGCAAAAGAATGTATGCGTTTGGCAAAAGAATGTATGCGTTTGGCAAAAGAATGTATGCCTTCGGCAAAAGAATGTATGTCTTTGGCAAAAGAATGTATGTCTTTGGCAAAAGAATGTATGCCTTTGGCAAAAGAATGTATGCTTTTGGCAAAAGAATGTATGTCTTTGGCAAAAGAATGTATGCCTTTGGCAAAAGAATGTATGCCTTTGGCAAAAGAATGTATGCATGCCTTTGGCAAAAGAATGTATGCTTTTAGAAAAAGAATGCATGCCTTTGGCAAAAGAAGGCGTCTTTGGTCAAGTTTATCTGACTTGATTTTACGCTTGCTTTTTAATTTTCTTAATAAACAGATAGAGTAACTACTACTCACAATTTGTGGATCTGAAGGCAACCTTGACAGGAGATCCGCTAATTCATTGTTGTCCACTGCGTTTGGCTTTCGAATCTTCTTCGTGAATTTATTAACGCCTGAGCGAAAATAAATGTAGGTCAGTATAGACACAAGTAATTTGGTTTGTAACGGCCATGTACTTGCCAGATAGATGATTCGAGCTAGAGACTAAATTTTGATCTAGGCAAGAAGAACAAAATCCATCACCACAGCTAGAAAGAGTATGTTAAAATTAGTAAAATTGCAACGTTTGGTTGTGAAATGTTGTAAAATGTGGAAAATATAGTCCTACGAAATTTGCAATTTTTGTATTAATTTGTATTACGCGCACCACATTTGGGCCGAAAGTGGTGGTGCATTTCCCCGTGCGTAATACAAATTAATACAAAATTTGCAAATTTCGTAGGGCTATATTTTCCTCATTTTACAACATGTTGTGTCCAAACTTTGCAATTTTACTATTTTTAACATGCTCTTTCTAGCTGTGGTGATGGATTTTGTTCTTCTTGCCTAGATCAAAATTTAGTCTGCAGCTGGAATCAGCCATTAAAATACCACATGGCTCACTACTTACCAAATGCGAGTAACAAGAACTTGATAGGAACTATATACAAAACTACTGTGGCGCCAGTCATCGCCACACAAACCATGGTGGATACAAACGGCACAGTCCAGTTGAACAAGCTAGATAACGAGACCAGAACGCAATGTAAATTTTGTAAGAAGTTATGCGAAGATTCTGAAGGCAAGATTCTTACTTTTTAGCTCTTTCAAGCGTGGACGCGACGTTGTCCAAAGCATTTTGAATGGTTTGACATAGATTTGTTATCATTGCCATCTTTTCTTTAAAGCTCTTCCCCCCTTTGTCCTAGAAAACAACAATACTCTTCCTAAATCCTGCTTTCGATATGGTCGTAGTCACGATCTTTCTCAACGGCCAGTTTATAATAGTTTATACCTGTAAACCACATATAAATCATGAGTATTCTCTAGTTATAATCACTCCGCGTATTTTCAGTTCTAAAATGTTGTATTTCGGCTGATGAGAAAGATCGTGACTCGATCTTTACGACCGTTACGACCATATGGAAACCAAACTTAAACTCTCCAAAGCCAAAAATAAATTCGCCATCAGGGACGGTAAAATATTCAACACGAGGGCAATAGAAAATAGAAGCGACTTACGCCTTTCTTTTTCGAGTCTTCTTCGTCATCGTCATCATCATCGTCATCGTCTTGAGGTGGTCCTTCCTGATATTTGCATTAGAGTGAGATTATGTTAAAGATAAATTAGGGGTTAGGTGCAGAACCTTTTTTTAAGAATTCTTCAGTTGGGGGGAGGGACCTCTACAGAACGGGAGCAAACTATACTTAGTGTGGAGAGATGACAGATGGTTGGCGTATGTAATGTAGGTGGGTCTGGGGGCATTCTCCCCCGCCAGAAAATTATCGTATTTTTCCAGCCCTAGGACTGCATTTCGTGCGTTTTCTGAAACAAACTTTTGGATATTCAGCGTTACATTATACTGCAGATAGACTGAATTTTGAGTTAAGTACTTGCGTGGTATGTTTATGTAAATACCACAACTGGGTCAGTAATTTGTTTAGCCTAGTCTTCCAACAACTCAAATCTATAGGGTCTGGGATATACTATCCACTAAGAAATTTTTTAAATCTAAGATATTTACAACACAATTGCAATGTTTAGCATTTTAAAAAGATATTGAATCATTTGCATGAAGATAAAAGACAGCACATCAGATTCGCAAAGCAAATTTCAGTTACTAGAATGTCAAACTTCCCTTCTAAATTCCATTTTTCGTCCAATGTTTTGCTTATATTTCAGAGAAAAGGGATATTGCCTGTGGGCGAGGAG